AAGGGAAGCATGTGGGCCAAAAGCAAGTGCATGCAGCTAGAACTGACACTGCCACCCCCAAGGTTTCCTCTGCCATGGGACACAAATCAGAAGGTGTTTGGGCTGTGTCCCTCATTTCCATGAAAAGCAAAGTGAATTATATCGGTTCTTCCCTCAGGCAGACCTAGCACAGAAATCGGGGGGAAAAGCAGGGACTCCCCCTCGGGGCTTTGCAAAGGTCAAAAGGTTTCCTAAGCCTGGGGTATTTCCTGAGATTGTCAGTTTTCAAAATTGTTTTAACTCCAGAAAGCAAGGCACTGCAAGTGCCAACAAGCCGCAAGAAGTCAGGAAGTGGCAGATTTACTTCTGCCCTCTCTTACCTGGGTCTACACTGCCCTTCGTCACAGCTCTGCATCAGAGGCCTGGGCACCTACACCGGCCTTTAGAATTAAGAGCGCATTTTCCCACACAGCAGCCCAAGGGGCTCAGTAACTACAGGTCGTGCACTCTTGAGGTTTGGTCACCTCAGGGTAGGTAGAGCAGTCGCAACAGGGAGATGGAAATTTTGGTGACAGGCACCACAGAGAAGCTCTGCAAGTTATGAAGGCCCCAAAATGCTTAAGTCTAAGCTAAAACCACATTGACTTCTTAAATTCCCAGCTCTCTTTAAATAGAGACGGCACAGACACCCCTTTGCTGGGCACCAGCGTGCTACAGACATCAGATAACCTTGGCCCTGCACAGTCAATCTCAGCTGGGTCGAGGACAAACCGCTGCAGCAAGTCTGCGACTGCTGAGGACCTGCTCCTCAGAGCCCTAACACCAAGCCAGCCCTCCAGCCAAAGCTGGAGTTTGCTGCTCAGTCTCTTAATTGTCTTAACAACCTCCCAAACACAGGAAACACACCACACACGTCACTCAAATACTCCCACCCGTCAAGGCCCGAATGCATGTGCCAGAATCACTTCCCCGGCTACGCAGACAGATGTGCGTCCCCATGTGTTACGCATCACGCTCTGCGCTTCAGCAGCTTTCGCTCGTGTTTCCGTACCCATCTGCAGTTTAGGAATACGCTGGCCTGCTCCTTCATGCCAACTGACAGTAAAACTGAGTGGAGATGACAAATCTGTTTCCCAATTCATTCATACAGTCCTCATGCAGGAAGAGCCCTCAAAAGATGCCAAATCTCCCTCGGAGCATCCCTGCCCGTTTCCACATGACAGCAGGATGAGGCCTCTCATGCTTTGCCTGAGGGACGGGCGTTTGGCTGTCTGTCGCTCAGGCCGGGTGCTCCTGTCATCTGTTACCCTTCACGGGCGACGGGAAAGGATTCGCTGTGCAACAAGTCACCCGCCATCACCCCCTCCCTCTACGCTGCACAGAGGAGGTTTTACCTCCAGTACGCTGCCATTTGTGCTTCTCTCCTCTCCAACCTACGGTGTCCCTCCTCTGCTTCCCCAAAGAGCTGTACCTAAAGCTCAGAACCGGGAACCTCACCGCCTCATCCCCGTGGGCGGCCCGGGGCTGTGCAGCCCCCAGCATGCTGCCAACTCCCTTCTGCTTTGCTGTTCATCTGCCAGCTCTCCAGCTGGCACCATTAGGTAGAACACAATCGCTACGTCTCTGTACCTGCAGTACAAACAAACAACAGGCTCCCGTCGTATTTACCTTTCCGCTATCTGGGCTGTGCACTTGCCTTTTGCAGTATCTCCCGCTGGGTATTTAAATCAGGCTAATTGGCTTCCTTCCCCGGGCCGATGGCAACCAGTGCACTGAGAAGTGGCCGTTAGCAGGGACAGGGTGGGTTTGTGTGCACATGTGTCAAAACCAGGCTGTTCCCTGAGGTATTTTGTAACTTGTATCACTGTTCAAAAAGTGATTCTGAGGATTTTAAAAACTCCCTATTCCCTCCCCTCTATAAAGCTGTGATTGCCCATGCTCTCATCTCCTGGCACAGCTGTCTTCTGGGCAATTAATTCAACCTGGCTTTCAACAGCAATGCAGACTAAGCAGGAGTTTTCCAATAAATAAATCCATCCTATATTCAAAAAGAGTCTGGATTTGTAACTGGTCAAGATGAAATACTTTCCACTCCAATAAAAGCTAGAGAGGATATTAAAGAATATCACAAAAATGCCGGCTGGAAGACCCCTCCAAAGTCTAGTCCAGCATCCTGCTCCAGCAGGACCACTGCCAACGCTGTAGTTTTTCCAGCCAAGCTCTGAAACCCTCCAAGGATGGAGATTCCCCCACATGCCTGGGCAATCCATCCTGGGCTGCACACCCTCCCGGGGAAGAAGTTTTCCCCAAAGTCCAACTAGAATCTACAAAGCGGGAACTTGGGGCTCACAGCTCCAGTGAAGATGGGCACTACCTTCACCTTTTTGAGCAGTGAACATTTACAGGACCCAAACGCTCACAGCTCCAGTGAAGATGGGCACTACCTTCGCCTTTTTGAGCAGTGAACGAACATTTACAGGACCCAAATGGGACACAAGATGCACTTCTTGGAGCAGTAACGCTGCATTTGGGTCCCTCGAGGCCACACGGATATGTTTGTTGGCAGATGTGGGCTTCCTGACCCAGATAGGGCAATGGAAGATTATTGCTTTCCATTGCTCATCATCATTCTTCCCCTCTTCAAGTTGTAAGAGCTACCCCTCTAACAGCAGTGTGGTGTTCTTAAACACTGGAAAAACCCCGCAAGGATTATCTCAGACTAGTCATTCAAATAAAATTAGCTTATTTCTGGGCAAGGAGATAGCCCTTCCACCAGCACTGCTTGAAGGTGGAGCAGAACTGTCCACAGCTTAGTGCCACCAGTGAGCATTTCTCAGTGGAGCAGAGGACCTCTATCTCCCAATCCAAGAGCGAGAGGGAAAAAAAAAATCCTGGAAGTGATTCCACACCCATGGCTTGGGAGAGGAGCCATCAGTGAAGCATCAAACTGTCTGTAAAAGTACTGCTCGATGTGCAATGAGGAACACTTTGTGTACATTACCGAAGGTCTAGCTCAAAAAGAACTTGTCCCCTTCTCAGTTTTACTTCTGGAGGGACATGCCAACCCTCCTCCAGCAGCACCTAAGGAAAGAACTTGGATTTCAATTCCCAGTCAACGTGACGAGGGTTAATGCAGCCAGTGCTGGAGCCAAGCTTCAGTATTCCTTATTTCCCCTTAAGGTTTCTGCCTCGCAAATACCGGCTGTGCATAGCAATGGGCAGGCACAAGCTCTTTCTGCCATCTGTTTAATGAGTAACAGGCGTTCAGAGGCACAGACAGAAGAAAATGTATCGGGCTGAACTTTATTGCTCTGCTGAAAATAGCCCATCCCTTTGTGTGCACACAACTATACTTGGAAGGGCAGTTGCAGTATATTTAGCGTGCTAACTACGCATTTATAGCAGGAGTTTGCTCTGGGAGGCAGCTGATACAGCAGAGCTATTTGCCATAGCACAGCCCTCATTAGGCTGCTATTCCTCAAAATGAAGCAAAAATGGCTCCCTCCCCGGGGCCGATGGCAACCAGGGCACTGAGAAGTGGCCGTTAGCAGGGACAGGGTGGGTTTGTGTGCACATGTGTCAAAACCAGGCTGTTCCCTGAGGTATTTTGTAACTTGTATCACTGTTCAAAAAGTGATTCTGAGGATTTTAAAAACTCCCTATTCCCTCCCCTCTATAAAGCTGTGATTGCCCATGCTCTCATCTCCTGGCACAGCTGTCTTCTGGGCAATTAATTCAACCTGGCTTTCAACAGCAATGCAGACTAAGCAGGAGTTTTCCAATAAATAAATCCATCCTATATTCAAAAAGAGTCTGGATTTGTAACTGGTCAAGATGAAATACTTTCCACTCCAATAAAAGCTAGAGAGGATATTAAAGAATATCACAAAAATGCCGGCTGGAAGACCCCTCCAAAGTCTAGTCCAGCATCCTGCTCCAGCAGGACCACTGCCAACGCTGTAGTTTTTCCAGCCAAGCTCTGAAACCCTCCAAGGATGGAGATTCCCCCACATGCCTGGGCAATCCATCCTGGGCTGCACACCCTCCCGGGGAAGAAGTTTTCCCCAAAGTCCAACTAGAATCTACAAAGCGGGAACTTGGGGCTCACAGCTCCAGTGAAGATGGGCACTACCTTCACCTTTTTGAGCAGTGAACATTTACAGGACCCAAATGGGACACAAGATGCACTTCTTGGAGCAGTAACGCTGCATTTGGGTCCCTCGAGGCCACACGGATATGTTTGTTGGCAGATGTGTGCTTCCTGACCCAGATAGGGCAATGGAAGATTATTGCTTTCCATTGCTCATCATCATTCTTCCCCTCTTCAAGTTGTAAGAGCTACCCCTCTAACAGCAGTGTGGTGTTCTTAAACACTGGAAAAACCCCGCAAGGATTATCTCAGACTAGTCATTCAAATAAAATTAGCTTATTTCTGGGCAAGGAGATAGCCCTTCCACCAGCACTGCTTGAAGGTGGAGCAGAACTGTCCACAGCTTAGTGCCACCAGTGAGCATTTCTCAGTGGAGCAGAGGACCTCTATCTCCCAATCCAAGAGCGAGAGGGAAAAAAAAAATCCTGGAAGTGATTCCACACCCATGGCTTGGGAGAGGAGCCATCAGTGAAGCATCAAACTGTCTGTAAAAGTACTGCTCGATGTGCAATGAGGAACACTTTGTGTACATTACCGAAGGTCTAGCTCAAAAAGAACTTGTCCCCTTCTCAGTTTTACTTCTGGAGGGACATGCCAACCCTCCTCCAGCAGCACCTAAGGAAAGAACTTGGATTTCAATTCCCAGTCAACGTGACGAGGGTTAATGCAGCCAGTGCTGGAGCCAAGCTTCAGTATTCCTTATTTCCCCTTAAGGTTTCTGCCTCGCAAATACCGGCTGTGCATAGCAATGGGCAGGCACAAGCTCTTTCTGCCATCTGTTTAATGAGTAACAGGCGTTCAGAGGCACAGACAGAAGAAAATGTATCGGGCTGAACTTTATTGCTCTGCTGAAAATAGCCCATCCCTTTGTGTGCACACAACTATACTTGGAAGGGCAGTTGCAGTATATTTAGCGTGCTAACTACGCATTTATAGCAGGAGTTTGCTCTGGGAGGCAGCTGATACAGCAGAGCTATTTGCCATAGCACAGCCCTCATTAGGCTGCTATTCCTCAAAATGAAGCAAAAAGAAGAGCTGACGCAGTAACCGGTATTAGGGTAAGGAGGGAGATCGCCCTATTCGCTGCAGCAGCTTCTCCACAATTGTTTACGCTTTCATTAAGAGCAATAAGTTTACCCAGACACTCATCTCTGATGGTTTATGGCAGAAAAAGAGAGAAAATACACCCACAACCTCCAAGTTACGGTGTCTCCTAAAGCCACTGGTATCCAAGAGCCTCTTGCATAAACATTTCTATTTGTACACCCCTGCGTCCTACCCACAGGACCCATTTTTTTAATCGCATCTTCTCTCTTCCACTGTTTTTGTAACAACTTATCTGGTAATGAGGAAGAAACATTTCGAAGTGCTCTAATGGCCAAAGCCTTGCCCCTTAATCAGAGAACATCCCCTGAGCAGTTTACAGGAGATGGAAACGAGTAATTCGGAGAGCAGCAGCTACCCACAAGCTTGGGAGAGCTCTGTGAAAATACCTGAGCACAGCATTAGCTGCAAACTTTGCCGCAGACAAGAAAAGTATTCTCTTGCTATTACAGTTTCCCAAGGCTACTTGACTATACCCACCCTAGGGCGAGAACCAGGTTTTCAGGGGATTAACAGCTGAATCTGGGACGTATAGGAAAAGCTGCAGTACCTGCCTCAGGTGGTTTTCTGCTCCACAAGTATGAAGCCCAGTGACAGCTGCATTCCAGCGATGCCACTGTGTTTTGAAATGCTTAGGAAGAAAGAGTAATTTTCCCCCACACCTTTTTCCCAGATGGCTGCTTAGGAAGTCACTCTGCTTTTCACCATGTGCAGAACCGCATCTTGCATGTTCTTGTTGTGTTGAAATTTGTAACAACAAAACTGGGTGCTACTAATCACACATCTTAATGACTTTAACCTAACAAACCTAACGTAATGAGCAGCTCATCCCTGCAAAACAGGCCTTGAAACCTTTGTAGGCTGGTCTGTATAAGTATTCAGGCTGGCTTTGCATCTGATGCTCTTTTTATCTACCTCATATTTGCGTGGAGTTTACAAACCTTAAAATATAGGATAGCTGGCTTGGAAATGTCAACGGACACAAACTGAGCATCAGCATGACCGGGCCTTTGCTTTGCACGCTCAGAAGGTTTTTTCAGGCTATGCAGTTTTATGTCTACCATGCGTGGACACAGGAAAGCTGGCGGGCAAACAGTCAAGTCCCCATTGCCCAACGATACTCCCCAATGCTCCTTCACACATCCGGGACTCTCTGCTAACAAGAGTTCCTGTGACACACGTATTAGTTTTTGTCCAAAACTGACGTGCACAGATGAAGTAGCTATAAGGGGAACAAACCCAAAAGAATTTATCCTCCAAAATCCCAGGCTAAGGGGATTTGCTCAGAGTCCACACCAATCCTTCAGTAAAGCAGCAAGGATAAGAAAAAAAAGATTGCATTCTGCCCTCCTCATTTCCTACCTTGCAAACATGCGAAGATCTTCTGGATTTTGGGCAGCAGGGACATTAAGGATAGCTTCCCGCTCATGTTCCAACAAGCTTGCTAGGAGATTCTCTGTCATCCTTTTATTTAGGGGTGAGTCCCCACCAGGTATCAACTCAGCACTGGAATTATCCATGCTAGGGCTTGTCAGAGTCATGTCATCACTACTAGCTATCGGGGAAAAGAGAAAGAGGCAGAGAATGTTTATATTCCTCAGCATAATGAGGCAAAGATTATCAATTCAGGCTGTTTCTGTGCAGTCTTTCCAAATAATCCCTTCAGATTTGTAGAGCAAAGAAAGAGGCTCTCGAAATGCTACTTGTATCTGCAATTAGTCATATGACAACACAACGATTTTCTCAATGGGAAAGTCCAATGTTTCAACAAAGTCATCAATTTCTGTGGAAAACTGTACTTCTGGAGACCATAAACAGTCCATAAAAAACATCTGAAAAGTAAATTCCCAGCCAGCTCTGCTGGAATACCGTGAAGTGGTAACATGAAAAGCCTAGCAGCACAGAAGGTGGGAGCAAGCAGAAAGAAAGGCCAAGAAGCAATATCCTCTTGTGAGTGAGCCAGAACAAGCAGATCGCAGACTTATCTGACTCACGTTCCAAGATTTCTGCCCTAGTTCATGACTTCAGTAAAGCTGAAAGCTGTGCAGAGAATCTCTCCTGATATCCAACCTCAGTGGCATTCTGAGAATGCTGCTCGTAACAGCACAGGCAGGAAAGTTTGGGGATTTCAGCATTGTATCTGATTTATACTCTTGAAAAAATGCTTTCTGGGAATCACCCTGAAGAATGGCACTGAGGAGATGAAAGAAATCAGGAGACATAAACGGCAATCGACTGTTTCTGAGAATGACAGCTAGCTCTGCATCTCCTTAGGTGGCTCTGCAGCCCACAGAAACCAGCGCCGTTTGAAACAAATTCTCACAATTTTCTTCCTCTCCTGAAAACCAAGCTTCATGCAGTAACAGCGGTGCAGCCAGAGGAACATAGCGGTTACTCCTGAGTACAGCAAGGGAGTAGGAACTAACTGAAAAAACAGAAGTACCTCTGACAAAATAAAAATATTTTACATGACCAAATGAGAACTTGGCAAATTACAAAGCACTACTTGTTTTTAAAAACAAGACTTTAAGGTCTAATAGCCCTTAAGACTTTCACCAATGCCCAACTCTAAATTTAAGGAACGGCTGGACGTAATTAGCAAGCACTCCAGCAAAGATGGGTTGTCTTGTTAGCAAGGCCTGGTTACCCCAGGCATTGCTAAGGGAAGCTCTAGAAGTGGGCTGTAGTCTGAACAGCAGAGGAAAGCGTGCTCATACTTGGAGACCCAAAGCTGAGAGCATTGGGGGTGCTTAAACTTCGGCCTCCAACCCTGGCAGTAAAGGGCATGTCTTCATCTTGGGCTCGGAAATCCTCCTCATTTGGTGGCACCATCAGACAGACGTAAGTGTGAAGCTGAATAAGAAGCCGGTGCTGGAGCATCCATATCACCATTTGAATGAGCTGAGTCTGCAGAGTGAGAAATGAGGTATTAAACACCGTGAACTAAAATACAGGAGGAAAACTGCCCAAAGGTTAGGCTTTGTGCCTAAGAAGTCACAAGGAGAAATGATTTCCACCCCATGCAACAGTTTTCTCTCTTCTCCAATCATAAAAAGGTGACCGGGCACACATGTTCATGACACCCAAAGCCTCTGGTGGATGCTTAGGCTGTAATCAAACCTTTAATGATCAACATGTCTTTATGCCACACTGACCAGCACAGCCAGCATCCTCAAACACAACAGCCCTGCCCCATTGCCGTAGCCCTCACCATGCTTTAGCCATACAACTCCACAGGGATCCCTCATGTCCTCTTTTAACAGAACAGGTTCAGTAGGTGCTAAAAAAATGGGGTAGTCTTCCTTCTGAGAGACCAGACATGGGAAATGAGTCGGCCAGATGCAGGCCCTGATGCCCATGGCCCAGCAGCGTGAGCCGGAGATCAGTTTGCTGGTTTCTAAACAAGGCCCGCTGAAATCACTGATCACTGAAGGGTTCATCTCAGAGCAGTCAGATTAAAGTGCAGGTCCCCCTAGCAAGCCAGGGAGAGGGCAGGGTGATGGGGCAGAGCTAAAGCAACCAAGACAGGTGCCCAGAAGTAGGAGCCGTTTGCTGTCAGATGGGAAATTGCTGCAAAACCATGGGAGACCCTGGAGATCAGAGCCCTGCCAGGACTCAGCTCTGCAGAAACAGCACTAACAGCAGCAGAAACCTCAGCAAGAGGCAGCAGCTTGCTGCTGCCAAGGAGTCCCCTCGCAGTGCAAAGGGTTGCTATCCCCCATTTGCTGGCCACCCCTCTGCAATAACAGGCCAAGCTTATCAAGGCACCTAGGTCTCTAGGGTGCAGACAGGCAGCAGTTTCAAGCGAGACGATGCTCATATTAAACAAACATGCACGACACCTTTGTCTTACAGCAGCTGAAGGCCTGCAGAACGTCCCCGAGAGATGCTGAAGGCAGCAGGCAGAGCGGGGGACAAGCGTGTGTAGGGTCTTGGCATGGCCTATTTTCAGGACTTTTGGAGTAGCATTCAAAACACATCATCGTGTCTGAATTTCTGCACAAAAAGCCTTTTCATATCACTGCGGGCAACCCTTCCCATAGCTAACGGCTCTGAAAACACTGCTTCACTGACAAAAGCTGTTTGGGGATTTCATAGCAACCAACACTGTTTTGGTGAGAGAAACACATGCGGAATGAGCTCAGGCTCTGAGAAGGAAGCGAGCTCTGCTGTATTAATCATCAGGGTAACGGGCCAAAGCTCAATAAAAGCCCCCAACTGAAGTTCATCAGCCCACATAATTTTCCTTTTTCCATAAATCTTAGAATTCTCAGTTCCTTCTCTGCTATCGAATCACAAAAGAAACATCTTCTGTTTGCAGACAGACCCACACCCCGTCTTTTCAGGGATTACCACTTTTGGGGGCTGAATGGATTTTAATCTTAAAACATATTATCTGGGATCGCCTTCAAACATATCTTTTTTTTTTTTTTTTGGAAAAGCCATAATTCATTTTACATGTTTAATAGAAAATCTGCAGAAGAGGAAGGTTGGCAAAAGATACCAAACGCAGCATGTTTTGCCTACATCTGAAATCAGCCTGGAAGAGCGAGGAGGTTTACTCCAGTGATTATGTTGCTAAAAACCTTCCTTCCAGATGCAGGCCTGGATGGAAAGATGTTTCATGTATTAAATTTCCAACCTGTTGGCGCACAGCGATGTCTGATGAGCTAGTCTCACATCAAATGAAAGAGGTCTGCACATTGTACGGCACAAAATAACCCTGGAAAAATCCAAGGCAATTCAAGGAGACAAACAGGCTCTACCAGACCTGCAGAATCTGCCAGGTAGGGCCTGACCTAGGCCAACCTCCGCTGGTCACTGTGGTGGTTTCATAAATTGCAAAACCAGCCACTTGCTTTCATTACAGCTTCGTGTGCGTGGGAAGTCTTGGATCCAACACACTCTAATTCTGCATACGCACCCTCACCTCTACGCTCTCGTGCAAATATCTAGAAAGCCACCCTTGGGACAGCAGCTATGGCTCAGTGGAATGAGAAGCCAGGCAGAAGCGGTGTCACAGCTTTACAACTGTAACGTTGCACAATTGCCAAATGCCTTTGTGCCAAAGTGGGAGAGCTGGAGATCGGCTGTGAGTAGCTTGAAAACTGTTCTTCCTTACTGAAGTGAGCCTGAACAATCGTCCCCAGGTAAGAGAGAATGATGATCGTTGACAGTTATCTATAATAAGCTAGACTCAGTGGGAATTTGGTACCTCTTAAAATCTAGTCATGGAAAAAAACCCAAACACTACCATGTCCTACAGCACGCCTGAAGGGGTGCACTCTGTACCGTCCCAGCACACATGCTTCACACCACCATTTCCACTTTGTCCTGCCCGCTCATAAATACCTTTTCCAGGTTTAAACCTATTTCTTACCAAAAGCAGCAAGTGTTTTCACAGATAAGGTCTAGCAGAAGCTTTGCTAATATGTTCTGCTGCTTGTCTCTGGACACAAACACTGATTTTACATCCATTTTCCATCTGCCCTCTCAATGGAGCTTACAGACAGGTCTGCAGGAGGGAAGGCTCCCCTGCACCATCTGTGCTGCACTGGCTGTTGGAAGTGCTCTTCCTCCCTCAGAGACACAGGGTTATCTTGGTGCTTGGTCTCATTCTACTTGATTAGCTGGGCTCCTTGCTGAAGCCAAAAGGGCTGAGAGTAGCTTCTGAGGCAAGGGTATGCTTCAGTCCCAGGACTGCCTCCACTCAGTCATCATCTGGCACTGTAGGAAGCCATAGCCAGCCTTTTTTGGCTGAAACGCCAGGACTGTGATGGAAATATAAAAGGAAACGTTTTTCGTTGCTTAATTTAACTAACAATCAACTCTAAATTTCATCCATATTCCTGTCATCCTTCCCGTCTCCCCATGCTGCCTCTTTCCAGTCTGCTCGGAGGGGGTCCCGTCTGCCGCAGCATCTGGACTGCTCCCACTGGCACGGATCAGCCCGTGGCCACCCCCTTTTTCTCCCCACTTCACGGCGAAGTTAGAGCATGGTGTCATGCAAGGCGGCACGGAAGGCGCTGGCAACAATGCATTGCTTTGTGCTTATTGACAAAAGCAGAGAAGACGTATTAGCTTCTGCAAACATGGGCGCTATACATCAGCCCATCTGGGCAGCTTGGGACAGTCAGAGGAAAGCTCAGCCCCAACTCTCAGAGGGACAAGATCCAGCATTCATTATTCTCCTCCCTCTGGGAAACACAAGGAGCATCTGTAAAACTCTTGAGTAACGCGTTAAATAAAACACATTTCCTGCAAGGATTGTTTAAGGCTGCTTCATTCCCAGACCTAAAATGCTACGGAAAAAAACAAGATAACTGGGACCAGCAACAGGTTCAGGAAAGGGAAGGGAAAAGTGACCCAGAACACTCAATCCTAGCTTGTTTCTCATTACATCAGGATACGCTCTTAGTTAAAACACAGCTTGTTTTGCCCACCGAAGTACACCAGCCCCCTTTCTCCAGTCTGCATTCACTGAAGTTATTTGACATGCGCACTCTTCAAGGACTGACTTGAGAAGTCCGTGCTGCCTTGGCTCAGTAGGATAGCACCGTCAAAGTCGCTGGGGCAAATGGACATTTGCTGAAATATATTACCTTTCTTTATCATTCAAACCACACTGTTTCATGAAAAACAGATCAGCTATTGAATCTTCTCCCTATTTTGCAGAAAACAGGCTCTGAAGACCCCTATTAATGTAGGACAAGCCAGTTATGGTCTAATGTTGGCGTTTTAATCGTATGTAACAGCTTTGAATTCTCACTTTGCCGAGATCTTAACCATTCCCTCCACTTAGGCCTAGAAAGCCGTATTTAACTGGCGACACTGAACCCCCACCTCGTCCAACTGAACATAAATGCACCTTAATACTACTTCCATACCTCTGCCAACAAAAGCTCCCATGACTCTTAATGCCTTCCAGACACCCAGCAGAACAGTCCCATTTGCCCCGTGTCTCTCAGAAGACACAACTGCCTATTCAGTATTTGCATGCAGCTCCTCCTCCCACTCCCATCCCCTGACATACGTGCTCGTTTTCCACCGAGCTGTTACACAAAGCACGGCACGTTTTCCGGATGCATAAGGCAGAGGCCTCATCTAGCGGTGCCTTACTCCCAACAGAACGGCCAGGCTTATTAAAACAAAAGTGAAAAATTAAGCATTTTGTTCAGCAGCAGCTGTCATACTTTCCCATCTGTTTTTTTTCCGCAGTTACCCTAGCCCTGCCAAGGGAGAATTAGATAACCACAATAATAATAACAATGTTCATTATGATAAAGAGCTACTGCAGTGGAGGGGATGCAGGGAGGAAATGGGAGGTCTAATTCACCTAGGTACACTCCTCCTACCTTAGGGGTGGAAAGATCCCTCCTGCTAGTGCATGCTTGTTCCTCAAGGCAGGGTAGCGATATCTTAGACCTTCTGAAGCAGATAAACTAGCTGAGGCTGTAACACACGGAGGAGGGGAAGCCACAGCCATTATCCCTTTCTCTTGGTTTGCAAAGAAACTTAGCGTGGAGTAGCTGGGTGAAGAGACTTTGATAGTGTATGAAGAAAGCCTTGCACCGAAAAGCATGGTAAAGGATTCCCACGCAGCAACCACGGTTCTCCAGTGTGGGCCTAGTACACACGGTCTGTCAACGAACGTGTGGTGAGCTAAAGGTTTTGGATCACCAAACGCTTCTGTGCTTTCACAGGAGGTTATGAAGGGGCATGCACCACACTGAACACTGCCAGAGCTCCACTCCACTGTGCTCTGTCACATCAAGGCTGTGCCACACTTGCAAGAGGAGAGCACAGGGACAGGAACCAACAGTCACGGGCAGCAGAAGGAAGGACAGCTTCTTTGGCGTCAGGGTAGAGGAGACGCAAACTGTTTTTTTTCCCCAGTAAAAACACTAAAAAGGAAGATGAGTTTCCCTATTGTATCAGCTCACAGGATCTCCTCAACCCATGGCCACACCCTGATGAGATCCAGCACCAGCAGCATGAGCTAAACTGGTTGCTGGTCAGGACAGTCCCAGGCTGCACTGGATTGCTGCAAGCCCGGGTGACACTACACAGCACGGTAGAACTAACAGGCAACTCACCACCCTGAAAAGGGGAAAGCAGCTTCTGCTTTCCTCACTCACGTCCCCAGCTGCAGGAGTGCCTCCCTCGTTCTGCACCAGCCCTGGAGCTTACTGGATCTCCCCCTGAGCAAACTCCACCTGCTAACCTGGCAGAAAACTAGTGCTGCTGAAACAAGTTAGGTGAATAGAGTCAAGCTGGACAGGAGCCAGAGCTGTAGCGTAAAGGGAGGAGGGAAAGGAGGGAGGCATGTGTGCACACACCTGAGAGTGGAAGGGAAAAACAGGGCCTCCTTCTCCCAGCAGCACCGAGATATCATTAGATCAGCCGAGCTGTAGGTGTAGGCGCATCTTCACGCTGCTGCTACATTGCTATCCGAGCAAGGCAGGTTAAACACAGAAAAAGGGAAGCTAGCATAGAGATCACTACACGAATACCGAAGACTTTGCCAATTATAAGCAGAAGACCACTGATAAATATACAGCGACCAGAGTTCAGCTGCAGCATGCTGCTTACTGCTCGTCACCACAGGCAAGAAAGGAGCTCAAGAAGATGGGGTCAAGAAGAATTCCCGCCTCTAGCACAGGGTACGTTGAGAGCCCTGGCAGCCTGGATATCTCCCTACCTACCTGACAGACAGAGACCAAAAGCAGAAAGTAGACATGCACGCCATCTTTTGAGGCAGCCTCGTCCTCGCTCGGGGTATTGCAGGCTGTTTGTACCTCCTACCAGCCAAAAACTACCGCAGCACCCCAAGTATAAAAATGCCAGCGTCACATTTTTTCATCTACTCAAACAAATGGAGCAACTCCACCCATATAGCAGTAGGCAAACAAAAATGACTTTGTCCTCTTTCAAATCAAGCAGTATGACTTTGTGTAAAACCAGGAGGAAGGGCTCTTCAACAGCTTTCCTATTTTGTATCGTGGACCTTATTAATGCTTTCCGTATTCTCTGCCCATCCAGAAGCCCGTGCCAAAAGGCAGGAGCTAATCCCATGCTTAAGACAAGAATCAAATGGGATGGATGCCATGAGACTGTAACAGTTGCTGCAGAAAATGCAGCCCTTCCCACAGTACTGACCTTCCAGCACCGATGACCTTGAGAAATACAGAGACAGTACAGTCACCACGATGAAAAGCACAAGATAACAGACTACTAGTGAAAATCTTCAAAGTTAAAAAAAAACAACCCATCCCCTCCTCCTGTGTACACATAGAACAAAATTACAGTGAAAGGTCCAAAGTTTGTTAATTTTTTTCAAAGGCAAAGCAAATACAATTTGACAGTATTTACAGTTCGGAGTACAGCATCTTTTAGCGCTGCAGAGCAGAACAAAAACCCACCTACGTTTCATCAGATTAATTGCTCTATCGACTAGATCTCTGTTAATTACAGTTGGAGCCTGACCACCTCAGGATAGGGATTGGATTCATCTCTCTTAAAAGGCTAGCTCCTAACAGAACAATAATACAAAGAGTTCTACATAGGTAAATCGAAGTAGAAGAAAATACTTTTCCTACATTAATGTGCAGATATGAGAACATCTAAAAACTCTCTCTAGTCTAAACTCCCCTGAGAACTGTTACGCTTAAGTCAAAAAGAAGTCAAAAAATCAGAGAAGCTCACCATGACTCACAACAGCCCACCAGCATGGTCTGCTTCATCTTCACACACGTCTTGCCAACATGGCCCCGAGTATTCCGCAACCACAGTTCTCACTTCCCCTTTTCAGACTGTAGAAGGCACTTCCATAGCTTTTCACAGCATCATCCTTCATCCTTCCATACCCGCTGAAAGGATGACGAAGACAAGCCGTGCTGTTGACCTTTAGGGCCCCACCACAGACGGGTGAGCATCAGAGAGGAGATGCACACACCAAAAGAGCCATTTTAGCACTCCAACAGCTCTGGCAAATGCTGATCGCTCGCTGTTGTTTCAAGGCATAACTGCAGCAGTAAGAGGCAGACTTTATCTGTGTATTTTAAAGTAGGATGTCTGAGAACAACCAGAATATTGAAGGAGAAGTATTAAGGCAAGTAATTCATTTTAAAAGGAGGACTGAGAATAAGAATGCCTTCTGAAGCTACTGCTGCTAGAATAAAATTCATGCTATTAATTTAGCTTCAATTTTCAGGACACAGATTTGCCTGTAACTACAATGAAGTACTGGCAAAATGGTAGTCACGGCTCTTCCCCTGCCTCCCAAGGTGGTAGCTAACCAGTACATACTATTGGGATTAGACGCTACATCATTAGTTATCTTTATCTCCGATCATAATCTCTGCCAACCTGTAATTACAACAAATTCTTGTCTCACAATTGTGCCTGTGTGCGCAGTCAATGTTAATCTTCCAGATATCTGAACAGTGGCTAAATTCATATAGCCAGCAAGTCATCAAAGTACGAAGGCTGCAAACAACACTACAAGCAATCAGCTAAAGCAGTCTGCCTACACTCCCTTTGCCACAATGAGCTGTGTTCAGAAGTCCAAGCTTCTTCATTTGGGAATATGTCAGCCAGGAGACCTCACATTATTGAGCTCTTTCTTGACTTCACCAGTTCCCAGAAATGCTACAAGTCATGATCTCCGTGTAAGCAAAACAGCAGCACACTAATCCAAAATCTGTACATTATCATCCCAAATCTGAATATTAAAATCCTAACTCTGTAGCACATGGACTCCTGTTGACTACATGCTGAGTCTACTTCCTTTAACAGCCTTTAAACAATTCCAGTTTCATATCAAAAGCTAAGTGAATAGAGAGTTTGCTTTTATAACCAGACTGTGAACTTAAAGCAGACGGAATATAATAAAATTAAATGTGATTGTGAGGAATCCACAGACTTGCACTCAGCCCTACTAATTTATGTCGGTTTTCAGCAGACCATAGGGAGTTTCAGTTTTCCCTACTATGTCACTCAAAGAAAAGAAACATTCTGATTTTTCTTTTAGGATCGTGCTTTGCTAGCACAGAGCATCCACAGAGCTTCACCTTGAACATCCCCATGGCTTTTTGGCATGCTGATATGAAACAACAATTCATATGGTTGGAAACACAGTAATTGGCAACTTCTAAACCTGACATAGCAGGATCCTGACTAGGTACTCCAAAAGCAACACAGTTCTCATTAGCAAGAGAGCAAGGAGCTCTTGTACATTCCCCACCTCACCTCTTGAACGGGTGGCGCAAGCGGATTCTTGAACTCTGAGAGTGACACTGGGAGGGAGAACTTGGAAAGCATCGATGGCAGGTTGTGGCCCCGGAACTGACAAGAAAATGCATCTGCTAATGGAGAATAACTACAGAAAAGAGGCAAAGGCAGAAATCAGTTTTATCTTGCTGGCCAGTGTAACATCTATCCATTTAAGCATTATAGAAGTGCCAATTCCCAAAGGAAATATTCTCTGTGATCTAGAAAAACAGTATGGACAGTTTATGGCATGTTGCATCCTGCAAAAGTAAGCAAGAAGCATATGCGCTTTCATCTTGGCATTACCTTCAGCTCCAGTACATTATTCGGGGGGGGGGAGGGGGGTGCAGGCAGAATCCAGAGGAGAGAAATAAAACGTCTGGACCTGCGTAGTCTCTGATCAAAGGAACAGGGATTGGGCAGTCAGGCAGTCAAGAGAAGACAGGAATGGGCAGGATATACACACAAGTCTTTGAATATGCAAAATGCAGCTGCAGATGTGACTGTTCTCCCTGCCTATGCTGGCAGGACAAGCAACATGACTGATCAGTAGTAAGGGAGAGTCAAGTTAAATATTAGGAAAACTGTCTGTCTGCGGATTTCCATCTACAAAGGTCTTCAAGAACAGCACTGCCATATATGACACAGGCACAGTTGTTCCTGAATGACCTCAAGGTCCCTTCCAGCCCTATTTTTGTACTTCCATCACAGAAGTTTTGATTTAAAACTATTTTCCTATAACTGAGTTCCAACACAGATTCTAAAAATGTCTCAAAATCCAACAGAGAAAGGGTTGCCAATCTTCAGCAGGGCAAAAATACCCACCACTGCCTCCACATCTTCCTTGTATTGCCTCTGCCTGCTCTCAAAATGGCCGCATTGCCTTCTGCCTGCGAGAAGGCATCTCAATATGAAAAGCCATCACATGAAACAATACAATAGTGATAGCAACACTACCCTGATTTGCTACATTTGATTAACTTCAGGTGATGCTGTGTGCCAGGTACACAGATAGTCCTATGAAACACTCATTTATTTAACTTAATTAAAAACTATCTTGTTTTGTAAGTGTTTCCGTATTCCTTCAGGTTCATACAGCCTTTCTGATACAGACATTCAGTGAGCAAGCACGCTAAAAATACTAAAAGCAGCTTCACAGGGCAAATATTTCTTCCAAGGCCCACAGCACTGCCGAAGCATATTGATCTGCTGTGATGCTCCTCCCTACTGCACACAAACTCCTATATGGCGTTGCGAGTTCAGGCACATGCAATGGTTTGTGTTCTGTATAGTCTCAACAAATTCATACGTGAAGAAAGATCCTACCCTGTACCCAGTAAGCCAGGGAAGGAAAGCACATCTGCACTTCCCACCACTTTCTTGCTAGTCACTCATTCTCCTTCTACTTACAGACAGACGCTGGCGTTTGGAGACAGCATGTAGACATTGTTTTCACACAGGGGATAAATAATAATTGCTTTTCCCCAGTAAACGAGATGTGCAGCAAGCTGGAAAACCTGCATTGAGAAAACAGGGAAAAATTAGGAGAGTGAAAAAGCAAAACTCAAACTCTCAGCAAGAGTTCCACACAATGACAGAAATGTCGTGTTTGATCCGAAATGAAAGGAAAATGTTTCATCGTTTCACCCTGCCCTGACAATACATTCAGGGTTTAATATAACATGTGGCACATCAAAAAGCATTTGACAAGGTTATGAATTTCCAGAGGTTCGCTTCACATCTCTAAGCAACTCAGTATTTCCTGCCTTAACAGAATTTCTTCAAACTGTATCAATAGAACTGTAGCTACTTTTCAAGCCCCAAAAACCTATTTCCAGTATTTCCTGCCTTAACAGAATTTCTTCAAACCGTATCAATAGAACTGTAGCCCCAAAAACCTATTTTTGTTTATGCACAAAATGCATTAAGTGTTATACATGAAAAATAAAACAAAAGCAGCATGGCCTTTTTAACGCACAGAGATATTTCAGTAATGAGTTACACAAAATATTTTAATGTGTTAAACAAGTCCGTGGTTGTTAATGGCTGTGGAAGAGCCACATAAATAGCGTCTATGAGACATAAAATCCAGCCTGCATCATTAGGTGCATTTAAGTTTGCTTTTTTGTGGAGAACGAGACTACAGAAGCAGTAGGGAATTTCCAGAGTTCATCCCATAGCTATGTAACGCCAAGTAACACCACGGACCACTGTAAGCAGACCTGGAAATTTTATTACAAAACAGGACCTTTCCCTTCAAATAAGAGAAGGCACGGGACCTATGATCAGGAGGATCAGAGATGACAAGCCATGTTCTCCCCTGTTACACAGAGCATAGATTGCGTCCCCAGGTCTGAATCGACCCTCAGAAGCATGGAGAGGCCGCTCCCCTCTCCCGTATCATCCAATATAATCATCAGGGCTGAGAAGCAAAGGGCCACAATGATGGCAGTCACACGCAGTGGTCTCTCAGTGGCCTCGTGTCTCACGTGATTGCCAGAGTCTCATTCTGGCCATGGCAGCTGTAAGCTTCACTTACATTTTGGATGCCTCCTTTTGCACAAAGACATCAACGTGGCAGAACCAAGACAGACTACCGTGGCATAAGCCAAGAGTACTATTTGTTCTGGTTTTAACTACCCAACACAGGGTAGGCACAGAGAAGACAGAGCCACCGTTCTCAGGGGGGCATAGGGATGGGATGAGAGGCAACACACACGTGGTGGAAGACGGGAAATTCCCATTAGATATAAAGAAAGTTTTCACTCCGATGCTGGACATTTCACACAAATGCTGGACCAGAGCACAGAGAGGCTGTGGGATCCCCATCCCCAGAGATATTCAGAATTCGAACGGACAAGTTCCTGAGCAGCCTGCTTTAATGGACTTGCTCCAAGCAGTGGCGTGGACTAGAGACCTCCAGATGCCCCCGCTACCCCACAGCAATCTGCGATTCAGATGTGGCTGCAGGACTGTCAAGCACCGTTGCTGCTCTTTCTTCGTCTCCCCAACCTTTCCCCACGCTCTAAGGCTCGCGCTTTCTCTGTGCCCTCTGCTCACACCGAGAGAACTGATGTGCTTGTGTACCATAGAAACCCACCAGCACACAGAAAGAAAATGCTTCATGAATTAAAAGAATTTCAGCCACTGCTGGCAGGTCCCCATACCTGCAGCAATGCCAAGTCAGCATCTTGAGCCAGTTGCTGCAAATTCTTCACAGCAGAGGTAGTTTTAATTACTCTCACCAGGGCAGGAGAGCAGTCCAACGGGAGCTCATTAAGCAATGACTTCTCATCATTTAAAAGTAACAAGGCATGGTATGGCCTGCGGAAAAAAAGGAATACATTTGCACAGTAAACTGCAACTTTTCCTGAAGGCTTAGTTATTCCCAGACCATGATACCTGGGGTCAATCTACTGATAAAAAAGAACTTCTAATATCATCCTTTTGTCATAAGTGGGTTCAGAATAAGCTTATTTTTATGTCACAAGATAAGATGCTCCCCATAAAAAGGGGACAGGGGTTTATATGGTAACTGGATGCCCCAGTGACTAGAAGAAAATGACTGTGCTGTGCTGGCATACAATTAAGCCTGGAGAACTGGTCTGAAAACTGCTCATCTGCATTACTGAAATACAGAATGGACTAGAAAAAAGGAAGAAAGCAAGAATTAGTTACTTTTGCAGGAAAAAACCTGTAAACATGGAGAGCAGGAAATAATCATGAGGCCTGGGCTTGCTCTCTTCTAAACGCAAAAGTACTTCTGGTTCAACAGTTTACAATGAACATGTGATTCCTCTGATTGGAAACAGTGCAGGCCTCCCATGCAGCATCACCTCAGTACAACCACCTAATGTTAACGTAAAGGCTGTGGCTTCACATCACCACGTATCCAACAGTATCGTGGTACCTCGGCATCAGCTCCAAGGAGTCCTGTCTCAGCCCATGCCTCCACTGCCACTACAGCTCAGTGTCACATCACCCCCCAGCTGCTCCAGTACAGGCATTTGCAGCACCACACTTGGAACTGGAGGAAGGACCAGCCGCACTCTGAAGGACAGAGCTTGCTCTTACCTGATAGATTTCAGGCTTCTCTCAATTGCTTCAGGGGGTATAAAGTTTGTGGCGACGTAATGAATTTTATGAGGCAGGCAGAAACTCACTTCCAGCCAGTTGTTGATATGTAAACGGACCACCCCTGTTGTGCAGAGGCTAAAATAGGAAGAAAATAAATACATACAGCATTTACCATGTATAACAAATTAAAATAGTGGTTCAGACTCACCCCTGCACAGGAAATCGCATCAGGATAACAAAAGACTGAATGTACCCTGCCTATCCCCAGACTGGCTGAGGACCAGCTGATTCCTAGCTGCAAGGGCTTCCTTAACTTGTACTTACAAAGCATTATCCCCTACAAGGCTTCAGGGGGATTTCAGAGACTTCAGCCCACTGATCTTCTGCTCCCTCTGCTCTTAACAGTGCAGCAGTATCTCAAGTTAAAAGAGTTCCTTGAAAATCTACTGCAAGGCACTGGAAAATTCCCTAGACCAGAGCTGCAAAGGGCAAAGATGAATTGGGCATAGTGTTTTCACCTCCAATTTCCATCTGCCTCTTGAAGGAAAAGGAAAAGGAGATGTCTGTACTGGGCAAGGGGTGATACAAGCAGCACATTTCCACAGTAGCGGACTCCTTCGGTTCTGCTTAGGTTGTTTATTTCCTACTAACCTGCTCCCGCTCGTCATATGAAATCACAACCGTGCTTGCTAAATGGTTTCTTCATTCTAAGAAACCACAGGGACTAAGCTAAGCCTTTAAGCTGACTTCAAACAACAGGACTGGATTGGAAATGATGGACATCTCAGGAATGACGATAAAGTCTGACCCTCGTGTTCAGCCTGAAAGCACATATAAGCCTCTTTTACTGAAAAAAAACCCAGAAAGCTGGGAGATTAGAGCAATGAATGTCATTCAGGTAGTTTTACAGGAGTCTGCAGATCTAGACAACAGATGAAATAAACCTAGGTAGGTATCTACATTTACTTAGAAATGGGTAACGATACCATAGGGTATTGATACTGGGGGTTACCCCATCCCAGGTGCAGGACCTTGCACTTGGCCTTGTTGAACCTCATGAGGTTCACACAGGCCCACCTCTCCAGCCTGTCCAGGTCCCTCTGGATGACATCCCAGCCTTCTGGTGTGTCACCGGCCTTCTGGTGTGTCTTCTGCTCCCTCTGCTCTTAACAGTGCAGCAGTATCTCAAGTTAAAAGAGTTCCTTGAAAATCTACTGCAAGGCACTGGAAAATTCCCTAGACCAGAGCTGCAAAGGGCAAAGATGAATTGGGCATAGTGTTTTCACCTCCAATTTCCATCTGCCTCTTGAAGGAAAAGGAAAAGGAGATGTCTGTACTGGGCAAGGGGTGATACAAGCAGCACATTTCCACAGTAGCGGACTCCTTCGGTTCTGCTTAGGTTGTTTATTTCCTACTAACCTGCTCCCGCTCGTCATATGAAATCACAACCGTGCTTGCTAAATGGTTTCTTCATTCTAAGAAACCACAGGGACTAAGCTAAGCCTTTAAGCTGACTTCAAACAACAGGACTGGATTGGAAATGATGGACATCTCAGGAATGACGATAAAGTCTGACCCTCGTGTTCAGCCTGAAAGCACATATAAGCCTCTTTTACTGAAAAAAAACCCAGAAAGCTGGGAGATTAGAGCAATGAATGTCATTCAGGTAGTTTTACAGGAGTCTGCAGATCTAGACAACAGATGAAATACACCTAGGTAGGTATCTACATTTACTTAGAAATGGGTAACGATACCATAGGGGTAACATACCCTAAGGAGCTAAGCTGGCACCACCTTGCAAACCTTCGCAGCGCTGCCTGGCCCGCAGGCAGGGAACAGCTTTGCTAGAGGCAGTGGGACCCAGCAGGGTGGAAGAGGCAAGGCCCACCCCATCTTTTTGTGCATACAGATTTAGGAAGACATACAAATTTGCAAAATGATCTTAAGCAACAGCTAATCTTGTCTACACTAGAGAGCTGAATTTCTCAAAATGTCCTTTGATTTTCAACTTTGTTCCAAAAGATTTTTTTTTTTTTGGCCTAAAATAAAATTTCAACTCTGAAAATTCCAGTCTGAATTTTAAATTCGAGTGTGTTGAGACTTGCAATATGACTTTTGTGTCAATAACGCCCACGAATTTCCCCTCTACACAAAAACAGATTTAAAAACATGCCAGGAACAGGCCGGGGGCAAATACATGTCTTGGAAACTCTTTATGTGGTGATTTAAACACTTACACCTAACATTCAATTGCAGGCCACAAATGAACGTGCTCTTTTTTCAAGTTCATCTGGTTGTACACAGGGTTTAGAGAGACCTGAAAATTCAGCTTTAAAACAAAAACATTGGGTAGCTTTGGCTGCCAGCAGAACTATTCACCAAACCACAACAGAGTGGTGAGAGAGCAAACACGATCCCGTCCTGCCTCGTGCATGATCAGACTCATTAGGGAAAATCTCACAGCAGACAACGCTTTTCAAAAGCAGAGGCCATGGTTTTGTCCTCAAATCTTGCACTGACCTCCAAAAAACCATCGATTTTTCAAGATGCAAATGGAGCAGACACTATGTATGTTTTCCTTTTTTTAAAGGGAAATGAAAGGATAAATCCACTGTCCCTCTGGCGCTGCCACCTCACATCTGATCAGAGGCCTGAAGGAACATGCAAAGCACAGCAAACACCTCCGTTTTTCTTACATTAAATGCTGCAACTCCAGTAACACTGCTTATCCCACGAGACGTACACCAATTGACAGATAAAGCTGGCTTTCTCTCAAAATAGATCAAGGTAAAGGGCATCCTGAAGCAGTAGTTATCCACACCGGGGTGTATATATACATACACCAGGCCAAATACTCCCAAGAGAAACCATGACAATGAATGAATGGAATGAGCGAGTTAAGAGGCTACCTGAGAGCTACTGGGGTTGTTAAAACAGGTTACCGAAAAGAAGTAGAAATACATGAAACTATGAAACACTTGCAGGGATATTTTCCCTGCAGAACTCAACATTCAGGAAACAGAAAAAAAAAATACAGTTGGTTCCTTTCATTCTTGGGTCCAAATGCACCAAGGCAGAAGCTTTAATTACATAATTACACTCTCCACAGCATAATTTCGTCTACAGCGCACTATACAACAAAAGCCTAGAATGAAAGGCAACAAGAAAACCAGATTTTCAGTTCTGATCTGGATCTTAATTTCATTCTCCTGCATTTGCATTCAACTGTACAATTTCAAGGCTTCATTATAGCTTTGTGTACATGATTTCTCCTTTGCCTGCCCCTCCTTGGATGGAAAATAATTGAAATCTGTAATAATTTGACAAGGAATAAGCTACATCCTCCAGCAGCAATGTACGTGACTGCCCGTAGCCGGCCAACAGAGTTAAAGAATTTCACCAATATATACACAAAGATTCACGCAACATGAAATACAGTCAAGTCACAGAAAGTGAAGTTTGGATCCACATTTGTCCTCATTTTTACAGACTCCCCATGAAGTCATCTATTTAGCAAGCTTTTTACTGCGAGCCTCACGGATCTCCATGAGCTGGCCCCAAGCTCTTTGGCTGAGGACCAGCAGACCCAGAAGCTACCTTCTTTTAGGGGTAGAAGCAGCATGGCAAAAAACAGCAACAGGAGAGAATACCAAGAAAACAAGTTTTCAAAGTCGCCTCAGTGAGTCACCGAGCTCCAATTGTACTTTATTCTTCTTAATGAACTAAAATTGGAGCAAAGACTCCAGGAAGACTCGGGACTGTGGGAAGGCGAGAACACTGCGTCGGCTGCGTTGCACACCGTGAACCTCAGGGACACAGTTTAAGTAGCCCCTGATAGGAAATCTAGAGAAATCTAGAAAAAAAATTTTGCACAGAGCGTTCAAAGGTGCGGTAGGCACACCAGGAATTCACAGAAGGCTCTTTCTTGTTCTTTGCTCCCTTCCTAACTCTTCATGTTTCATGGGGATTTTTTGCAGCGTTACTGCGCCCTGAGCTTTTTCACTGACTTGACTTTTTCACCAAGCTATCTGCTGTGATTCCAAAAGCTCTTCTCAGAGTGGTTATGGACTATAAGGCCAGACAGCCCTTATTCATGCATTACTTCACATCTATCTATACTGAATTTCACCTTCTGTCTCATCAGTTAACTGGTATCTTTTTCCTTTTTCCCCACAGATTTCAAGAGTAACTGGGCAAAAATAGCTTCATTCCCCACACTCTAATTGGCTATTAAACCCTCAAACACATTCCATTTTATCCCATGAAAACTCAGTTTCGACACTTTTTTTTTTTTTTTAAATCTCTGGTTAGATAATACATGAAGAGTAATACTGAGGGATACACGGCAAGGCGTTAGGATACTGAGAGGGGATCTCATAGTCTAAAATTGGGGCAGGGAGAAGTAAATAGGAAAAAGCTGGTTAACGCCACTCCATCATAAGACCTGTGACACATCTCATGATACTGGAAGGAACAAAGTTCAAAAGAAACAGAAAGAAACACAGAAACTAGTTAAGCCATGGACCTCCTTATCAGAGGAAGCTGTGGTTGTTACATATTTACTCTGGCTCGCAGGATCGTGGACTAATTCCGGGAAGTGAGATCAGCTGAAGGCTGTTGGATATACAGAAACCACCTCCAGAGCTGCAGGAAGCCGGGCGATGTTTTGGGGAACATCACTGCTCTTTCACTTTATTCTGCTCTGCCCTGAACAGCAACTGTGAGCCACTGCCCCAAAACATGAACTGGAAAAATTGGCCAGTATCCCGCAGAATTGCAGCCTTTTCTTTTTTTTCGTATCTCTTGGCCAAAGAAAGACAGTCCCGCTTCATATTTTATACGAGTTATGAATTTTTACATAAACCCACTTCATTTTATCAGAAATTAATAATAAGTTTTCCAGTTTGGTGGAGGCGAGCTTGTAGCTTTGGAGTTTATTTATTTTTGCCAGAGGTTGTGACTACTTAGAGCTTTGACATGGCCTCGCATTTCCTTGGAAAGGACCCGTTGACCATCCTTTGGTCACATAACTGTAGTTGGTTTATATTTTACAGTACAGCCACACAAATCACATCTAATAATTCATTAAATCCCATCTAATTATGCCACTTCTCCCTGAGCTGCTGAGATAGGCTAGATCTACCAGTCAGTTCAAATCCCACTAGGCTAAAAATGTATAAAGGCCCTCTGTGTATTAAAAAGAAGAACCAAACAATCCAGTGCTCCCCAAAAGCCTCCCCATAGCTTCACTTTTATTCCAATACAAAGCTGAAAGAAGTTGGCTATGAACAGACAGGCAGCTAGTGTCAGGCTAACATATTATCTGCAGCTGCAGATAAAACTTGGTGAAAGCTGTCTTAATTCCCTAAATTGAATGCTGGCTTAAAAGAGACACCCATGGTAACACTGGTAAATTTGTCAGCGCTGGAGATGCTGGCAACTGGACTTTCTTGATCCTAAAGCCGTTGCCTTTTGTTCCACAATGCTGGAGTTTGGGGACAAGATGAACAAAGACTCTCAAATGTTTTTTCAGAATTCATCAAAAAGAAACACTCTCCTTTTCTCCATTAGAGTCAAAAAAGGTCCCAGGAACTAGATGTTGACTACCTCTAAGTTGTCAGTTTAATAATACTCCATTACTCTAGCGGCAATAATGTTACAGTCAAGATGACCTGGCTGTTGATTCCCGCCTTATAAAACACAGGCATTTCATTCAAAACGCAAGGGACATTTTGAAGTACAAAAAGATTCACACACTTGTGGTTTTGTACAAACCAACTTGCTAAGGGACATGTTGGGTCCTGCCTGGAATATCAGCACCATCTACAGGAAACCCAGGGCTAGACAGCACCCCTGGAGCAACTGTGATAATTCAAGAGGCCTTTGACTGGCATTGCAGAAATCAGCTGACACTAGGAAATGTGTCGAATGAGCAAATCTCAAATGGAGAGCTGGGTTCCCATCTGCAATTCAAAGTGCTCCCCTATGCCAAAGGCTACGCCAGAAGTATCTGTATATTTAAAACAGCACACTGTCACTGCCTGCATTTCCAGCAGACTTTTCTCCTCTACAAGAAACAGAACGAACCTTTCAATCTTTCCTTTTAGGTCATTCTCACTCCTCCACACTCCCTAGGTGGCCCAAATCCTTCCTGAAATGTGGTGCCCAAAACTGGCTACAGTATTCATTACAGCAGGGGATTTACAATCCGGAGCAGGATTGGTTCCCATCTTACAGACGAGACCTTTTTTTATGCATTCTTACCTATTTGCTTTTTCCACATCACTTGTGACCAACCCTCATTTCATAAAAGACCACACAAGCTTCACTCCAGAGGTGTTGCCATTCAGGAATTCTTCATCTCAAGAATTGCAGAATAAAAATCCTATTTCTAGACCATTTCTTCTACTTGACCAAAAAATTATTCTAATTCTATGCCTGTCCGGCAAGGTACTACAGCAGGTGTAATAAGCATATTTCCTATTCTCTCATATGAAGCATTAATGGAAAAATACTGCAGAACACCACCTTATTACCCAGCCAGCCAACGGCACTGTTAGCTGCTCTTCAGATAGAGCTTTCCAATCAAATGCACAGACATTTTATATTTTTACCGACAGCTGCATTTGCTTATGACAATGTCATCCAAAACTGTCAAAATACAACTTGCACCACTTCTCCCTGACGCACAATGCCTAAATGAGGGGCACGCTGCCTTGTTTTAAATCTGGGGGGCAGCACCACTGGGTGTTCCTCTGTGGTCAGTCTATTCCTCCTTATTTCATGGAAGGGTTGTATTAACACTCTCCATGAGCTTGGGCTGTATGTTCCCTCAGTCAGAGCTAAGTGCCACAAGATGTCACTGTGTCACTAAATGTTTGGAAACGAGATCAGGGTTTTACCCAGTCACAAAGACATGGCCCTAGAGGGACAGAGAAAAGTAGTAGGTGAAGTTTAATAGTACAATTACAGGCTACATAAAAAATGTCATATTTTAAAATTTAGTATGGGTTTGGAGAGTTGTATTGAACAATACACAACATTCCCTCCAAACTGGCTGAAATTCACAGCTCTTGATCATAATGAAGAACAGCGTATTACAAGTTTTCTAACGTGCTCTGCAATCACTAAATTATTTAGGCTCTCAGTGCGTTACCTTGCAGGGCTTTGCAATTATTCCCTTTGTACAAAGGGAACCACAATCCTAGGGAGGCTACAGGGTTTGTCTAATATCATACGACGTGCTCTACAGTCAATCAAGGAACTCAAAGAGTCATTCTCCCAAGCCCTGACAAATGCCGTAACCAAGGGGCAAATCATCTTCCTCCCCACCAAAACCTTCTGTGCTCCTTTGTCAAGGTCTTTCATCAAGCGCATATCCCAAATGGAGGTGTCTGCTCTGCGTGAGGAGTCAGCCCTGACGAGCTGTCAGAGCAGAAGTCCACTGGGGTTGGTTGCTGGCTCCTGCTGAAATTCAACACTAACTCCACGCTCTTTTGAAATCCTTGCCAGAACTTTTAATCTAGTCAAGAAACAGCATGTTACACTTTCCATTCTGCTGAAAGTCTCACCGCTTCATCCAAATTCACTGTCCAGACATGCACAGTGTAACCAAATGAAGCCAGGGCAGCACCTGACTTGCCATCAGTGCTAGATGCAGCATTTTTCTGTTAGCTGCAGGTTTAGAGCACTTCTACAGCAATATGATATTCATATTATGACACTTTTCAATTCACAATTCACTTATCATTATGTGCCTCTGTGCTAAGGAAGAAAATAATAATTCTTAAAGCTGTGACAGACATCACCGACTTTTAAGAACCACGACATATCCAAAAGTCAGGACAGCAATTCTGCAAACATTACACCTGACAGCTAGCCTTCACATCGCTCCACCTGGTCTAAAACCCAAATCCCAATGAGTCAACGGCATGAAGAGGTGGATAATATCCTAAGGAACAAGGCCAAGAGGTTTCAGTGAGAAGCAGCATACTATGAGCTAGGACGAAAATCCCACTTACCTGTCATATGTCTCTTTGAGATCTCTGGCCAGTTTGCACTTGGGTAGGATGTGATGAAAAGGTGACTGTGGCCCTTCTGTGGCTATGGAAAATTTCAAAACAAGAAAGCAAACAACTAATTTCAAAGCAAAGAAGAGTTTCCTCTTCCCCCACTAGGTATCAACCGGTACCTTAGGGACAGAATCCATATCTTTTTAATCTGCAATTATCTTTCAAAGCTTTTACAGTAACTCAAGTTACATGTTAAAACAATAGCAGTGAATTATTACCAGCTTCTCCTAAACCTCAACTCAGTTAAGCACACGTAACTGAGAATTTGACAAGTGATGATTTTGAGTTTTTTGGTTTTATATGTGTTAGTTTTAATTTTTAATGCTTGCAGCAAGATGATGCATCACTGTCAGATAGAGTTCACCTTAAACAGTGCACATTAGTAAATTGCTCTGACGTACAGTCTATAAAAATGCTCTGTAACTATTTGCTAGCCGTGGTAACAACATGTAAGAGTCAAGTTTCCACACAAGAAGTCTGGTGACTCAGCACGCAGCATTAAAGCATGGGAAACTTGCTCTAGGTTGAGTGAAGCAGGCTACATAAGAGTTCTTCCATCTCAGCCTGACAGGCAGATCCAAATGTGATGGTTCAGTGCGCATTCTCCAGTGATCACACTGAACTGAGCTAGCAAGGAAAGGAAAGGAAAGAAGCTTCTTCACTTCTAAATCTGACATCTCTGCATAGGGATAGTGATCTTGGATGAGGCAAAACGCAGTCAAAAGCTGTCAGAATGCTAAAGAGCACCAAAACTTGTTCATACTGATCCCAGCCACAAAAGGCACAATCAGCACTTGTCTGAAAACATGTTCCTGGACAAACATATTCCTGCACAAAGCTAAGCTCAGCACTCACTTTCTGACATGGCAGACACTTCATCCTGAATAGCCAAGATCAGCTTGGCCTCCCTGGTCAGGTATTGGCAGCGGCGCTCCTCGTGCTGCAAGACTATGGCGATTCTTCGGGAGAGGTTGTGTAAGCAGTTTATCACGGATGGATCTGCATTGGCCTACAGGCAACACAGAAAAGAAACACGTCGGTCATTCAGCTACAATCACATATATGGAACTACAGTGATGGATGAGTAGTCAAAAATCATCATCTTCAGTAGATATCAAAAGTCAGCCTCTTTGGCAACTGGCAAAAAAAAGGTATTTTCTTGAGCAGCAACAAAGCACAAGCTCAGAGATGTCCAAAGGTAATGAGAAGACTCAGGGATTTCTAAGCTTGTCTACATGCATCAAATGACCACAGCACCTGGAGTATGATACTCCTATCTGGTTTAATTTTTCCAGTTGTTAACGAGTCTTCTGCTAGCAGAGGGACCAAAGAGCTCAATTTCACACCGTGAGAAAAGAAAGTGTCAAGCTATTTGAAAACGCAGAATATCACGATGTTCAGGTTAAATGCAGTGGGAGTATAAGGACTGCAGTGCCTTTAACACAGCCCATTCACTCCATGTTGCTATACTGATGTTTGTTTGTACATACTGACAAGACAGTAACTGGGTAAGAATGACCAGCACACGATCAATAATTTGATCCCAAACCAGAACGAATTTGGATTTATGCTCCCAAGCGTTTCACAAATATGGCTTATTACTAACACTGCATTCGTGCAAGTCCCAGAATGAAAGTGCTGGAAAAATCTATCATGTAAGTACAGCTGACAAGGGGAGGGTCTCAGTGGCTCCAGTCTGAGTAAGCAGCTGCTTCATGTTTGTTAAGACATTTAAAGGAATTTACGATTCTAGCAAGTGATAACTTGGCATTCAAAGTAGCAAACCATGAGTCATCATTTTTGGACTCCACGGTTCTTTTTTTAACCCTGAAGCTTAAACACAGCAGGATCGGTGCTGATTACAGCACTGGGGACTTTGCCTGCTCTGTCTGCCCACTGCAGATGGACTCTCATCTTTATCTCAGAATGCCTCCACCCACCCTCTGCAGTGCACTACACCATGCTAGGAAAAAATTTCCACTTGCTTCTTGCACAGCACTTTCCAGAAACTCGACAGCTCTCTCTGAACTAAGAGCGTCTCATTTGGCAAACATGATTTAGCGCTGCATGACACACACAATTACATCAGCATCATCACAGCGCCGAAACGCAGAAAAAGCAAGTTTTCCTAGGAGAACCACTAGAAACTAGAGTCTAGAAAAATGTGGGCTGGATATAGTCTTCGCTGCACTTCACTAAGCCTTTGCAATACTGTGAATGAAGGAGCACTGGTTGTAACACTTCTGCTTCCACATGACTCACAGTGCATGAATGGTTGTGTTTGCATGTGCATCTACACACGCTTACCTCCAACCAGAGTACGGTGCTTTGCCAACACACCAAAACAACAAAATTCTTGAAGCTAATGTCTCTTAATGTGTGAAATCTAAAATCAACTCCTGTATTGCAAATTCAGCACTTCCTGACCTATGAATGTCCCAAATCACAAGAACACTGGATCCCCAGCAGAACTCAGCAAACGATTTCTTGCTTGATTCAGGCTGATTGCTGGGATAACTGTCTTGTGCAAAACCTTGCTCTTCAACTGAGGACAAGCCATCCAGACTGTGGCCGTGTCTGTGTTAGTCACCACTGGAAAGCTAGCGGTAAGAAAAGTACCAGTGCTAAAAAAAAAAAAAAAAAAAAAAGGCCATTTCACAAGCAGGGAGCTGGAGGCTTTTAAATCATGACATCATATCCAGTCGAGCAACAATCAACCATTTCTGTAAAGACAGCTATTCCAACTACCTCGTTTTTAAAATGTTCCTTCATATGTGTACATGCCACACAAATAATATGATGGCTCCACAGATGCAACCTGTGGGCTGGGGAGAGAAAGCCAGAGCTCGGAAATCAAATAATGCTCGAACATAATGAAATTTCTAGGGTTTTATACCACCTAATTAGCCAAGCCAGGATCCCTTAACACAGATACCAACATCTAGTCACTAGAGTACACATGAAAAAAAATTCCAATCAAAAACTACATATTTGCTCCAGGTTCTTGTTGAGCATCAAAACCTACTTATTCTTCTCTTGTACCTTCTTCTCATTTATAATGCTACAGCTGCTGCTCCCTGACACTCTCTCTTTACAGTGATCTCATTGCTAAGAGGAGGCAGCTTTCAAACGCTGCCCATTTAATTATAAAAAAAAAGCCTAGAGGCACTGAGCAAAGCCACATGTCTCCGTATCATACAGCATGACTAAGGGCTCAAAACAGTGCTGTTCTGAGCCAGAGTAGGTTTCTGAATGACTGCACTGAGCAAGCTTGGGTTGACCAAGGCCACGGTGGGGACCCAACTCTTCAGGCTGGCCAAGCACTGTCCACGCTGCCTGCCGCCTCTGCTTCTGGAGCAGAACCGACCACCAAGGTCCGAGCTGCATGGAGTCACAGGGGCTCGGCAACGTGCGAGTGCAGCTGGGTGGGTTTGGTCCTGTCCTGGGCAGGAATGGAGCAGTCACCTACAGAGAGCAGCATCTGACACACAGGACAGTCAGACCCAGGCTGTCATCTTGCACAGCTGAGCTTGACAAGCCTCAGTTGCACGGTCTAGAAAAATCACAGCAGATTACCAGTTCACTAATAACAGAAGACAAGACACATACAGGACTTGCAACTGGGTTCATATCTATTTTGCAAAGTGACTTCTTGCATGCCTTTACACTCTGGGTACATAAAACCAAAAACTCTAGAAAATGTCCTGAAGAGAACAACTGTAATTGTTTTCCACTCGGCTGGAAAACTTTCCCACTTGTCGGTGTCATATTCTACATTGTTTAGGTTTGTTGTTTCAAACTAAAATATCCCAATGGAATCAGACACTGAATGTCTTACAAGAGATTACTGGAACGTGAGCCTACTGCATTCTCTTATATCTCCAAAGCACATCCCGCTGTCAGATGGAGTGAAGACAGTCCTTACCCTTAGTGCAAAGACCACGTTGAAGAGAATCATAGTGGGCATCTCTCTCTTTGGTGAAGGATCAGTTTTGGATACCTGAAAAATATTTTTTAAAAAATCCCATAGGCTAGTGTCACTTGGATCCAGTAACAAAGAAAAAGAAAAAAAGAAAAAAAAGACAGACAAGCTACCTAATTAGCCAAGCCAGGATCCCTTAACACAGATACCAACATCTAGTCACTAGAGTACACATGAAAAAAAATTCCAATCAAAACCTACATATTTGCTCCAGGTTCTTGTTGAGCATCAAAACCTACTTATTCTTCTCTTGTACCTTCTTCTCATTTATAATGCTACAGCTGCTGCTCCCTGACACTCTCTCTTTACAGTGATCTCATTGCTAAGAGGAGGCAGCTTTCAAACGCTGCCCATTTAATTATAAAAAAAAAGCCTAGAGGCACTGAGCAAAGCCACATGTCTCCGTATCATACAGCATGACTAAGGGCTCAAAACAGTGCTGTTCTGAGCCAGAGTAGGTTTCTGAATGACTGCACTGAGCAAGCTTGGGTTGACCAAGGCCACGGTGGGGACCCAACTCTTCAGGCTGGCCAAGCACTGTCCACGCTGCCTGCCGCCTCTGCTTCTGGAGCAGAACCGACCACCAAGGTCCGAGCTGCATGGAGTCACAGGGGCTCGGCAACGTGCGAGTGCAGCTGGGTGGGTTTGGTCCTGTCCTGGGCAGGAATGGAGCAGTCACCTACAGAGAGCAGCATCTGACACACAGGACAGTCAGACCCAGGCTGTCATCTTGCACAGCTGAGCTTGACAAGCCTCAGTTGCACGGTCTAGAAAAATCACAGCAGATTACCAGTTCACTAATAACAGAAGACAAGACACATACAGGACTTGCAACTGGGTTCATATCTATTTTGCAAAGTGACTTCTTGCATGCCTTTACACTCTGGGTACATAAAACCAAAAACTCTAGAAAATGTCCTGAAGAGAACAACTGTAATTGTTTTCCACTCGGCTGGAAAACTTTCCCACTTGTCGGTGTCATATTCTACATTGTTTAGGTTTGTTGTTTCAAACTAAAATATCCCAATGGAATCAGACACTGAATGTCTTACAAGAGATTACTGGAACGTGAGCCTACTGCATTCTCTTATATCTCCAAAGCACATCCCGCTGTCAGATGGAGTGAAGACAGTCCTTACCCTTAGTGCAAAGACCACGTTGAAGAGAATCATAGTGGGCATCTCTCTCTTTGGTGAAGGATCAGTTTTGGATACCTGAAAAATATTTTTTAAAAAATCCCATAGGCTAGTGTCACTTGGATCCAGTAACAAAGAAAAAGAAAAAAAGAAAAAAAAGACAGACAAGCTTAACTCAGTCAAATAATGTTTTCTGAGAAAAGAGAGCAGACAAATCAAATTATACCATCAAATTTGACTTGTAAAAAATAGAATTATTTTTGTTCATTCAAGTGTCAGAGCTACTCTACAATACTGCCTTTTCTGAGAAGCTGTGAAGACTTAAGCCAAAGCATTTCAGTCATGACCATGTAAATGAGTATCAGTTAAGACAGCAGTCTTACTAGGTGTCTTTACTATTGCATTTTAGCGTCATTAGGGACCCTAGGTTTAAATTCCTTAGGACAACTGTCATATATATATTGTTAACTAAAGAGAAATCCATAGATTTCTCATCCCAGGCCACACCTTTCCTTTCCTAAAATCCCCATTTGGATTGTGTCACGTTACAAACTGTTGCTTTTATCAGAAAAACTATACTCTCAAACTGCAGTACCAAAATAAAAGGTTTGATTTTCCCTTCCTGTGGGATTTCAAACACGTTCTCCAGCCCTCCCTATACTTTCTGCAGCAGAGAGCTGCACCCCTAACGCAGGTACAGACTTTCTGCTGAGGAGGGACAGTGGAAGCCAAGACGAGCAAGTTGAATTTGCACATCCAAGACCAACAACTCTGAATCGAGCAAGCGTCGCCACAAGATGGAGCACTCCATCCAATCCCAAGTGAAAACAGCTATAACCTGCCAGGCCAAACACCCAGCTAACCTCATACTAGGTCTCTACCTAATGTATGTGCATACGTAGCTAATGCAGCGCCTGAGACAGGGCAAACGCAGAGAAGCTGGCAACAGCAGAGCCGCATCCACCTCCCCTGACAGGTCCCAAGCATCAGCAACGAACTGCTCAGCAGTGAACTCTGAAAGCTGTGTGCTTTCACTCAGTAGTCTTAAAAATTAGAGAAACTAAAAGAAGTGATACATATTTTTGCTTTTTCTAAAGCCTAAGTTCGATCAAAAGGCAGTGATGGGAGGGTGGTAAAGCCAATTTACCGTTCATTTGTTCTCCTGGAGTTACAGGTTCCAGGAGGCCTTGTGAACCTCAGTAAAGACTCAAAAGCATTTCCAAGTGTAGAGACTGATCCTTTTCCTTCCTTAAAATCAAAGAAACTACCACCATTAACATCAATTGGGGTAGATTTCGTATCACCTCATGTCCAGAAAAAGGAAGAAAAGACTAAGCTGAAAAAGAAAATGCTGAAGGAACGTGAAGAATTCAAAATATTGCTACATAAAAGGCGGTCTGGCACGCAGAATTAAATGTTCATGCTCTTGTAACAACTGAATGTCATCTGAGTAAGAATTTCTTGAGCTGTCCCGTGGATTAACTTACTGCAGTATGAACTCCAAAGAAACCCAAACCAGAGACTGTCAGGTTACTCCGGTCACTGCCGTTGCTCCATGGGAAAGGAGCTCCATCTAGCTTCCTCCTAGCTGCAAAAGGGTTCCAGATTTAGACTGAAATGAACTAGCAGAGATGGCTGCCACATCTAGAAGATTCTGGACCCTAGCAAGTTCTGTGGTGCCTACTGGGGTGATAAGACACACCCAAAAAGAACATTCTATGAGAAGTAACAAAAAAGTGTTTACAGCACTTTATAACTTTGTTTCTTCAATTTTATTTAGACAAATTGAAAATGAAGAGACATTTCATGCAACGAGGAAAAAACTGACTAGAAAGTGAACGTCTAATAATATGTGGTGGAAAAATGCAAATATACATACTTTCAACCTCCTTTACACTACATTTTAGACAAGATAAGCAGAACAAAGGAATCTTATACTGTGAGAGAACTGGCCACTGCTGGCAGGGCCCTAAGGGCACCAAAAGGTCTTAATGGCCCTGACCAGCCCCAACTGGGTCCCCCCACACGCACCCTAGCCCATGACCCCAGAGGCCCATTTAAGCTCAGCCCAGGGCCTGTAGGTGTGCCTGTATCCAGCCCTGTCTGCTGGATGGACATTTGACCTACATCATGGATGGACCCTTGTTAAGTAGCACAGCGTTGTCCTCCAGCCCTGACTCTGGTTCTTTTGCTCCTGGCTGGGGTCCCTGTACGGACCCTGGTTCATCGCTTGCCTTGTCTGGGGCTGGTGATGTACTCGCACAGCTTGGAGAGACTTGAATTCTGTCTTCCAAAAAAGCTTAAACTTTTGAGGACTGAGTCTTGGTGATCCTGTGTCACATTTCTTGTAGATTCACAACTGAGTTTCCAAAGTAGAACACTAGTATCTTTTGATGCTTGAGGCCAGCTCCTTACTTGGATTAAAGCAGTCTGGTCCTCTAAATACCAAGCAGCAGCTGCCAACAATCTGTTTGCACCTCTAACTATAGATAGAAAGGATTTTTTTTCCTGAAAAAAATAAATGACTTAATAAATTTGATGAAAAATGAGACCAAAGCAGTTCAGTGACAGAGATCAGGGTTGGATTCAGAAACTACCAAAACCTAGTTCATTCTTACAGTCCATCAGGAAGAAGGAATGGGACGGGGACTATTTTACACAAAGAAGCATGTAAATTCTTTCCTAGATTTAAGCAGGACCTTTTCCATAGCCTGGGTGGCAACTGCTTTCATTCCAAGCAGCTAGAACACAGGCCACGGAGCAAGGTCTCAATGCAAACAGCAGCCTGACTTTGTCCGCAAGAAAATTTTAGACCTCTTTCAACACCCTATCTATTCCAAACAAGCCTTGTGAATCACCTTCAGCACCAGCATGAGTTAAAATTAAAGAGTTAAAAACAAGGCTGACGTAGTTTCTAGCATTTGTGAAGGTTGTGGGGCTTTTTTTAACTGCCATACTAATTAGAGGTGCTAAAAGGCTAAGTTGCAGTAACTAACATGGTGAGAAACAGCTTTTTGAGCTGGATTGCTTAGTGTTACTTCTCTTTACCCATGCTGCTTTCCTGCAGTAACCAGGAGGGGGTTTCTGTGAATCACTGACACAGCTCCCTCAGTTTGCTACTCACTGTATTTATCTGGAAGTCAGTAAAAGACAGCTTTGAACATCAGGAAGTAAAAACAGGATCAAAAGCAAACATGCACAGTCCCAGCGCGGACCTCGCACCATACCTGCCCCAGGGCATGCTGAAGCAACGTGGGATGGCCAACAAAGCGAACATTGTCAATCTTCAGTTCAAACTTTTTGCCACACATATCTGACTTGGTAGCCAAAATTGTTGCCAAGATGACATCCGAAAACCTTGAAGAGCAGAGACAGAAGTCATTACAATTTGCAAAAAGCATACCCCCAGAATATTCCTCCAAACACCGTTATATTTGACTTGTGAGTTTTAAAAGTATTGTACGTTGTGTCTAAATTGCTGTACCTGGAGCACCACCAATTATGGAAAATTAAGAACCCCTTAATTACATCTCTCTGATCATCACAATTATAAAACAGGAAGCATTCACGACAAAGACTGCAGGGTCATGCTTATTTAATTACATGCTCAGCAAAATACGTTGGAAAGATTAGATGCAGTTTGCTTAAATATAAAAACAGCTCAAGTTAGCCATTGCCTTGATTTAGCTGCAGGTTAATGAACTTACTAAGCCACTACATACCAACACAGCCTGTCACTCAAGCACAACAGAGATCTTTAAGCCACCCAGTATGGCAGAGGGGAAGGCAAGAGAGAGCTGATTCAATGAGAAGAAACGTACATCCAATGCTTGTCCCTCCTTTCCCAAATCTCATCAGTGAGACTCAAAGTCACCCACTTAACAGGTCTCAACCTGTGGTCAACAGACCACCGGCAGCCTTCTGAGAGCTGCCTGGCCTCACCTGGGCTTTCTCATTTGATAAAGCAAATGGAGAAATTCGTGACAGGGCAGGCCCTTCCCAAGGCCGACCAGGGTGTTACTGGATTGCTCTAGATTGGTGGTGGGAAGAAGGCAGCGGTGCGACAGGGGGGCAAGTATCTACAAGGAACCTGCCCTGTGAAATACAGCTACTGCTCCAAAAACGGGCAAGAATCCAGCGTGACACGGGAGGAATTCTGCAACTGCACTTTCCAATGGCCTTGCAACATTGGTCTGGTCTCTACAAACACTCATTTTCCTCAGTGGAGCTCAAATCCATAGGGAAGAGGACCTCAGTTAGCTGCTGGAGGGAGCTACTTGTTCTAGAACAGGAGCAGTGCAAGATTGGATATTAGCCAGTTCTTCCCTCATCTGATTTCTCAGAGGCTCCCACTTAACCAAATGAATTTCAAACCAGTTTCTGATGAGATCTTTTTTTTCTTTTCTTTTTTAAGAATGGAAACATTTATTTAATTTACATTCAGGGCCGTGTCCCTGCCAGACCATCCCCCTCCACCAGGCAGGTATCTCAGATAACCCCGTATCACTCAGGGAAAAGGGCAGGCGTGGGTGTGTGCTGCGCTCACCTTATCTCTCAGCCACAAGTGAGCCCTCGATGCCCAGAGAAGGAATTAATGTATCATATTCCTCGTTCACTCTCAGTGAGTTACGGAGTACTACAGAAATTAAGACAAATGCACACAGCCGGGACTTCTGCGTGTATCCATCTGCATATGGCCCCAAGGGGCATTGCTTTTATTAGACCTAGACTGAAGATGAAGGACAATGCAGGTGCTTTACGAGCTGTCAAAGCCCCCAGTGTCTGTACAAACAGGTCATCCTGACCACAGCACACTGCTTACATTTGGCTTGTGGAAGGAGCAGCTCCGTACAAACTTCCAGACCTCTGGCCTCTCTGCTCCCAAACCAGCTAAGGGTGGGGAG